AAAAGAGTTTTTTTAATTATTCTATTATAATTATATTCCCAAAGTATAACTTCGAGTTTGTTAATCTTAATAAATTTATTAATTAAATCTTCTATAATATAGTATTATTGAATATAAAAATCAATAATTTATTAAAGAAAATTAAAGATTTTTCTTTTCAAATTATAAAAAAGAATTATCAAATCAGTAATTTCTATTTGTATAACTAATAATCTAAACTTATAATATCATATCAAGAAATTTCTATATTATATATTATTTAATATAATCTAGTATTTATATTTAATACAGGTATAATCAGTTTTAATTAAATTTTTATAAATAGTTATAAATTAATTAATTAATTATTAACCTATTAAATAGAGGATTTATATATATAATAAGAATATATATTCTTGCACTTCTTTTTTAGTTTATTCTATTATATAGAATTATTATTATAATTCCGAGATAAGCAAGTTTTTATAAAATTCAAGTTATTTTATAATCAATAACTACTAAAGATTTGTTTTTAGTTTTATATTATTTTTGAATTTAAATAAAAGATTAATAGGCTTTGGAATATATAAATACTTTATTATAATAATAAGAAAACAAAAAAAAAGTATTTATTAAATTTATAGATTAATTAATAAAATAATTAGAATTAAAAGAAATCTATTATTAACATTTGAAAAAGATTATTACAAAAACTAATTTTATGAATAGAATTTTTTCTTATTCTTCTTTTTTCTAATAATAAGAGATACCCTCTTAATAAAGATAATTGGAATATTAGAAATTCGAATTTTGTAATTCTTTAAGGGATTTATATAATATTATTATTAGGGTTGAAAAGATTGAAATAGGTGAATAGTATTAGAATTATACTGTAACAATTTTTCTTTAAACTTTGTTATTTTGTTTTGTAAGGTTTTATAATTTATAAGAATTAATAATTGTTTTTTTTAAGATAAATAAATATATATTGATATATTATCTTTAAAAGTTAATTTCTTAATTAAAGAATTATTTTCTAACTATTTATTTTTTTTATATTTATTAATATTTATATTCAAATTAAAGAAATTATATTTATTATTTTATTGAGATTAATTATTATTAATTAAGAGAGTTCGACTGATTATAAAAAAAGAGTAATAAAATCCTCTTGAAATAAATAAATTGAATATAATAATGATATTTGTAATTTAATATATTTAAAAAAAATATCTTTATTAAATCTTAATTAAAATAAATCTTTTTTTTATAAATAATATCAATATATAATTTATTTAAAAAGATATTATAATTATAAAGTATTATTTGAATAGTTATTAGATGATTATACAATTATATAGGAATTATAGATAATATAACGTTTTATCTTAAAAGAATTACAAAAACAGGGTACAATTTGTTCTTAAAATCTATAATTATAGAATTAGAAATAAAGTATTTATTAAGTATATCTATATATCAACTATATATATATAATTATATATATGCGCGCATGTGTATGTGAGTGATCGCAACTGTAATTGAGTGCCGATCCGTGATATTAATTGAAAGTTCAAAGGGAAAAAGATTTCTACTTCTTGCTACTCAATTACTTTCGATTTGTTCTGTAATTACAAGCTTGATTATTATACTATATTATAACTTAATAAATAATAATACTGAATAACTTTAATATGTATTTTTAATTTCGTTAATTACTAATCAAATTCAATATATTTAGAATTTTTTATAAGAAAACAATTGCCTTAAACTAAAACTTAAAATTAACTCTCCAAATTCAAAATTCAAGAAATTCATTGAGACCCTATTGATTAGAATAAACTTAATCAAATATAGAGATTTAGATCAAATACATTAATATTTTAAAAACGATATTTTTAATGTATGATTGAATATTGAAGATTTTGTTATAATTAATAAAGCGATCACTTCGTCAACCACGGATTCTGCTACTACAGGGTCAGAGAGCATAGCACTTCTTCTAAAGTACCAATTACATTCGTCTTGCATGCTCAGCTTTCTAATTTCTAAACAAAGCTTCATTCTTGAACAACGTTTCACCCTATTTGCTGAATCTTGAGATGAGTTTGAATGAAGAAAGTTGAAACTCGAAGTTTTGCTTAGAAATATACTCGTTGCTGCCTTGAAGTATCAGCTTCGAACCCTTCAAAGGTTGATTTTCCCTCAAACTAGACATACTATGTTCCAACATGTTCCCGTCTCGAATCCCTAAATCAAATTGATTGTCCAGATCCTCAAAGGATAATAACATTGAACGGTCTTGTTATTTCAACTTTTCAAGCTTAAAAGGTGGATTTGATTATGAGATATTTCAACTCTTGCCCAGTAGATCTCATTTTGAGAAGTCTTAAGCTCATTGAAAGTCGAGATCTGCCCAAGACGACAACTTACAGTAGTCTTAATTTTTCCAATCTTGTGGGCTCAAGGAATAACTAAATCATAGACAATTTCAACTCCTGCCCACTACATCTCGTCTCTCGAGAGTTCAAAAGAAGCTGAAAGTTGGGATCTACTCAAGACAACAATTCTCACTAGTCTTGTCCTTTCAACTTTTTGGTCTCAAAAGAGAGATTAATGTACAACAAATTTGGACTATTGCCCATTGGATCTCGTCTTGAGAGTTTGAAAAACAAGAAAAGTACGCTTTTCAATGAGATATTCAGTCTTTCTGGTCCTTCATAATCCTGTTCCCTCCTTCTAAAAGATAAGTTCATCCCTAAACAACTTTTACTGTTCGCTGTTCGGGCTTGCCCCAAAGCTCACAAAGAATTGGTGATGAACTTCTCAACAAAGCTTTCATCTTATCTCAGTTAGGTTTGCAGCCCTGAAAGATGAACTAATTACCCAGACAAGCTACATACTTGCCTGCCAACTCTTGTCCCGAGAATTGTAAGAATCTAATTGTATAATTCTGAACAAGATATTAAACCTTCTCGAAGACTTGATACTCGATCTGGACATTCAAAATACAGATCATCAACAGTCCAACATGAACTATACTCTTTTCGTTCTTATTCATAATTCATCAACATTAGCATGAGCTCAACATTCATCTCTTTCGAATTGTCCAAGTCCCCTATTTTACCCTTTATTTGCCGAGAAATTTTCTAAGACCCCTTTTTTACATTTATATACATGAAATAAATATCTTAAAAATGAACAAAAGGTATTTAAATCCACTAATCTGAAACTAATTTCACTAAAATTCACTTAATAATATATTTCCTCTAATGAATCTCTTTATAGTATTAATTTATATGTTAATTTCTACTTTTGTTAATGAAACCGAGGGTTTAATAACTGATTTCAGATACATATTCATGCATCACATAATAACTTATCAAGGAAAACACTAGTTTTTTCTATTTCTCTCTCCAGATGTAATCATTTCAACATAAAACAAACATCAATGGATATAACTCCAATATTCATTGACAATATTGACAAAACAGTCATAAAGTACATAGAATGAAGCTCAAGTACTAAAAGGTACTACAAGATGCTACATACTTGAACAAACAAGGCAGAAACAAGCACCAGGTAGTCATATTCACCAGATATCATTAACAATCATCACAACAGCCCACAAACAAACTCTTCCAAGCCCCATATTCCCAACAGATGTGCAGCTCAACAGCTCCTTCTCTATCAAGGTTCCCAATGACGCAAGAACAGCTAGTACATCTCTAGTACCCGCTTTAATACCCCTCACCCCGCAATGTCTGAAGCAAAAATATGAGATATCAGCAAGAAAATTTGGATAAACGGCCCCGTGATCTCCACTATTCTTCCTTTTTTTCCTCATATTCACCTCCTTATCGCTCCGATCTCGCCCATTCTCTGAAGCCCTCGAGCATAAAGTAATATCTCTGGAGCTGCCCTCTTTCTTCCAATACAACTTCACAAAATACGGTCAGAATTCCGTGAGTCCCCCAGAGCAACACTTTATCAGAACTTTGTCTAACTTACTTGCTACCTTGGAGAACAGGATACTTACTATTACTACCACTACTCTGGAAAGAGAGAGCTTCAAAGGTATTAGGAACATTTTGTTTCTTCTCGCAGATCGATCAATGTATGTATAGCTACTCTTTAACGAGTGTCCCCCTCCTTTATTACTCCCGGAGACCCTCAATATCCTTCATCTATACCGGTCAAGTAAGCATTAGAGCTTTGAGCACTTCTAACATAATCCCTCCGGATAGCTACACGATCGATTACTGATATCTCAGAGTCTCCATCGTTCATACTTAGAGGCTTCTTCCACACAAGGTATGTATTATGCATTTTTTCCATTCTCTCTCCCTCCTATTGTCTTCCTTGAAACTTTGAAAATAGGAGAGCATAATGCAATTGTAGTCTATGGACCTCATCGCACAATCTAATCACGCACTCACACAAACATTAAACAGTATTTAACGACAGCAGTATTACTTCTCGTTCAGAACTTTGACTCTTCAAGGTTCTTGCATAATAAGGTACCTCTCCCTTTACTTCCTATTCCTCCTCAAAGCCTCTCTCTTTTTGATCGGAACATTAACTAACTATTACACCCCGATCCAGATCACATCTATCAATCTCCCATACCATACGACTCCCAAACTCTCAAATAACACTCCCACGTACTCGAATTCGACGATTTGATTGGATATACAGACTGGTTTTGCAATTTTGAATAATCTTTCGATAAAGCGACTTTCATTCACTGACCTCAAATCGAACCCCTTCACCACGCTACCACCTAACTTTCTGAAACACCACTTCAAATATCGAACTAATCCTCGAAATAAATCCTCCCAACCTTCCTTATTCCTTATTCACAACTACGATTGCAATAATAGCTTCAATATCAACAATAATACACCGGATTTCGTACGAAATAACACTCTGATATCCATGCAAAACAGTTAAACGATAAATCACACACATTTTCGACAACAAACTTTCACATCACTCGCAAAACCCTCAAATCGTCCATCATGTGCTTCAAGTCGTTCTGGGGCTACACCTGTGGCCACTGCAGCTTACCCTGCATTACAAAATGCCCAACTACCGCTCAAAACGAGAATTTTCCCCCATGTTCTATTCCGGCCTTACAAACCATTCCTGCCAACCAATTCTGTCATGCTTGCATGCGTGTGAGTTGGAATATGAGCGTTATAGCCGAGGAGAATGCTCATCGAGAGAGACATGAGCGAGGAGAGTGTAAGTGTGAGGTTATATTTGATAGGGCAGAGAGAGAGCGTCGGGAGAGAGAGCGGGGTGGTGATTTGGGGGCTAGAGATTTCAGGAGAGAGGGAGAGGGAAATGGGAATGGGAATGAGAGAGATGGAAATGGAAGAGCTAGAGCCGGGGGACGAGGAAGAGGCCGAGATACCGGTGCGAATACTGCAGGTACAATCGATAACGCTGGCGATAACAACCACGGAGGACGCGAGGGACAAGGCAGACAACCGGAAGAAATTGGCGGAAATAGCGTTATGATGCAAGGATCAAACATGGAAGCTATGATGAACACTACACCACCAGGTTATCGCAGTCCTCATCCCCGCGATCCAGCCTCTTCCCACCGATACTTCCATGTCGCCAACGTCCACAGAAGAGGTCCATACGACATGAATCCCGTTACGGGTGTTGTACCTGCTCGGCCCATCGAAAATCCACCAATTAGGACAAGTTCATCTCCTATGTACGGAGATATGATGATCATTCCCCCTGATCCAAGAATGTCAAACATGGGTGTCTATCCTCCAGGACATCCCATTCTCGCCAATCACAGAGCTGAAGCCCATGCATTCCACTCTTTCGAGATGCCTCCACCCCCTTCTTCAGGTCCTCCTAGCTATCGGAGTCCCAATTTCGCTCCATCTACTTATAGCGATGGAAATGGTAGCACTATCTACCCTGGAAACCAGTACTCTTGGAGCCCCGATCCGGAGCCTACTGCGCCAATACCAATGCACGGTTCCGAGAGAGGACCAATTGGTGGCATGGATCCTCGATCATACGGTCAATCAGGTCCACCAAGCCAACCTAGATTTCGACACACCCCTACTCCATTTACAGATCCAACCAGCTATCCAATGATATATCCGCAAAATCAAGTCATGGACACTGATGCTCACCGAGAGACCTATAACTACGCAGGCTACTACATGGACCGTCCTCATTTCAATGCCAGCACCAGTGCCAATACTAATGCACGCGGCTCACCCCAAACACGCGCTCAAGGTCCTGCTGGCGTCTCCATGGCCGAACACCAACCATTGGGCGGTTTTGCTCGTGCACCCACATTCTCCCCTCTTTCTCGTGGTGTTTCTAGTCCAAGAAATGTATGGCACGCTTCGGATAACGGTTTACCTCCACTCCCACCACAGGTTCCCTATCTAGGGGACTTGCCTTTGGTAGCTCCTGCTGCTCCGAGACATTTCAATGAGGGTCATCATGGAGCTAGACGCAATGGACGTCATGGGAATGACAATGCTCAACGCAACACTGTTCAAAGAGCTAGAACCACTCAATCTATGGGACAACTTCAAATGCAGATGACTACTACTACCGGTCCAGTTCAAACTGATTCTCAATCGACACAAGCAACTACTCAAGCAAATACTATTCAGGGACAAGCTCAAATGCATTCTCAAGATACACCTGCTACTATGAATATTGCCCTCTTGCGTACGCCAAGAGTCATCAGCAGCATGCCACGACCAAACTCAACAATGTAAAGGGATCAAGCAAGAACAAGGCAAAAATTTCAAGTAAGTTTTCAAATGCAGATAATATTTTGAGGATAGTCATTTATGTCGTGCAATGCTGGAACTATGCTAACTCAGCCTTTCACTTAGAATTTGTACATTGAGAACAAAGGAGAAGAATCTGCGCCGAAATTGCTTGAAACCACTGTACCATCACCGGCATCTTATTTTCCTTTCTCACTTTTCTTTTCGTCGAATCACGACTACCGATCAACTTCTCCGAAGACTGCGAGCATGATTAGCATGGATCTACAAGCGACAAATGTTTTCATGAAAACTTACCCAAATCCATGGTACCAATGATAGCAACCGCGTCAGCAAGCAAATGTCCTCTTGAGATTTGATCAAATCCACCCAAATGAGCGAAACCTGGCGCGCGAATCTTGCATCGGTATGGTCTTTCACTTCCATCACTTACAACGTACACACCCATTTCACCCTTAGGTGCCTCAATTGCGGAATAAGTCTCTCCGGGTGGAACAGTGTATCCCTTGGTGAATAGCAAAAAGTGGTGGATAAGTGCTTCCATGTTCTCCTTCATAGCAGCACGGGGTGGTGGAGAGATCTTGTAGTCCTCTACTCGGATGGGTCCAGCTGGCATCTTATTCAAGCATTGATGAATGATTCGGAGGGATTGTCTGAATTCCTCCATTCTGCAGAGGTATCGATCGTAGCAATCACCATGAACACCAACTGGTACATCGAAGTCGACTTGGTCATATGCATCATAAGGTTGGCTCTTACGGATGTCAAATGGAACACCACTACCTCGAAGCATAACACCAGTGAAACTCAAGTTCAGAGCGTCAGCGGCTGAAACGACACCAACTCCTTTTGTTCTTCCAATCCAAATTCTATTATCGGTAAGTAGTTCCTCAGTTTCGTCGATACGGTCGCCGAATTGAGTGGCCCATTGGTAGATGTCGTCAAGAAGTCCAACTGGAATATCTTGATGGACACCACCTGGACGAACATATGCAGCGTGCAAGCGGGCTCCTGAAACTCGTTCGTAGAATTCCTACGTTGGATATCAGCACCATTACATTTCCTTAGATAGTCAAAATAAATAATAATAAAATTTCCTTACCATAAGCTTCTCACGTTCTTCGAAACCCCACAAGAAAGGTGTAAGAGCACCAACATCCATTGCGTGAGACAAGACCGACATAAGATGATTCAAAATTCTAGTGATTTCAGCAAAAAGCGTTCGAATCCATTTTGCTCTCTCGGGAATTTCAACATTTAGCAACTTCTCAACAGCCAAAGAGAAACATTGCTCATTGGTCATCATAGAAACGTAATCCAATCGATCAAAGTATGGTAAAGCCTGGATGTATGTCTTATATTCGATCAACTTCTCAGTTCCCCGATGCAATAAACCGACATGAGGATCCGACCTCACGATTTCCTCTCCGTTAAGCTCCAAAATTAAACGCAACACACCGTGAGCAGCCGGATGTTGAGGGCCAAAGTTCACGGTATAATGGCGAATCTTCCTCTTCTCCACATTTTCGTCTTCGTGCAGTCTTGAATCGGGAGCCACATCGAGATGATCTGGAGTGTTGTTAAATGCGAAATGTTCGTCGGTAGGAACTAATCTTGTGCCCTCGTATGGCTCTGCGTATCTGCGGGCTGGGAGTGCTGAAAATGCTCTAATTGAGGCTCTTGATGTCGAGGGACGAAGTGTGGTGGGTCGCAACGAGCATCTAGTAGCTGTGCGCCCGGCCTGCCGGAATAGTGATGCGACCATTGTGAACAAAACTGAAGAGATACTGGATGATTTTTACCAGATCTCAATGTTTTGAGAGAGACAATGAGATGAGACTGAGGAGTGGAGAGTGAGGCCGATTTAGCGTTTGCCTCTTTGATTATCTTGATGATGTTCTTGACTTCTTAGCACGGATCTTTTGTTTAGCTTTGCTTATTTAAGATCATCTGATTGGCTGTTAGGGATAGCAAGGGTCGGCGCCGGTTGATCTTTGATGCCGATATCAAAATTTATTTTTTAGTATCTTCAGAATCTTTGCGACAGTGCGACTGAGAGTAGAACGACCCCGCGATCGATTTTTTACTCGGGTTTGGAGAATTATACAAAATGGCACCAAAACAAAAATATACTGCGGCTGATGCCCCACCACCCAGAAGCTTTTCTGAAAGAGAATTGGCAGCTAGAAAGGTACAAAGTCTTCAAATGTACACTGATTTCATTTCTGATTCCGTTCATAGATAGTTGGAATAAACACCGAAACCGTCACCGACATCACATCCACAGATTTCCCAGGTCATTGGCCTAACGAAGATCATGCATGGAACAAACAAAGATTCGCCGAGAACCTCCAAGTGCAATTCCACCAAAACGAACCACTCCTCTCCTCATTCTCCCTCATTGGCATCGATGCCTCAGTCGCCAATGCCTTCCGTCGAATCCTCATTGCTGAAATTCCCACACTCGCTATCGAATACTGTTTCGTCAAAAACAACACTTCTGTAATCCAAGATGAAGTTCTCTGCGCTCGTCTCGGTCTCGTACCATTCAAGGGAGGAAAAGAGGGACTCTTAGATTTCATGAAATGGTTCCAAAAGCCCGAGGAAGAAACCCCCGAAGAAGAACGTCACCTCGGCTCTTTCGATCATAACACCATTCAATTGACCCTGAAAGTCGAATGTACACACAACAAGGAAGCTGCTCCAGGAGAAACAGATCCAAGAAAAAAATACCACAATGCACATGTATATGCGAAGGATATCGAATTTAAGCCATTTGGAAGACAGCTCGAGTATTTCAGCGGCGAGAACACTATCAAGAGTCCTAATCCAGATATTTTGATCGCGAAGATGAGACCCGGTCAAGTCATTGATATCGACATGCATGCGATTAAGGGAATTGGAAGGGATCACGCCAAGTTTTCGCCAGTAGCTACAGCTTCATATCGATTATTGCCAGTGATTGATATTACTCAACCAATCTTGGGCAAAGACGCAAAGAAGTTCAAGAGATGTTTCCCTGACGGCGTTATTGGAATTGAGAAGGTTACTGCAAAGGAGGCAAAGATTAAAGGAAGTGGATATGAAGGACACGAGGGTGAGGACAAGGCAGTGGTTGTAGATGCTATGAGGGATACGGTCAGCAGAGAATGTTTAAGACATGAGGAGTTCCAAGGCAAGGTCAAATTGGGGAGAGTCAGAGATCATTTCATTTTCTCGATCGAGAGCTTGGGACAATGGGATAGTGATGAATTGTTCCTGGAGTCGATTAAGACACTGAGAACAAAGTGTGAAGCATTCAAGACGAGTTTACAAAACATGACGAAGTAATTTGTGGAGATATATAGGGGAGCATTGCAGGAGTTTTAGGAAATATGGCGTTAGTTGGTTCATACGTGGGATAAATGGGTATCTAGATTCTAAAGAGCTTATTATAACCAAAAAATCAATGCCATTTATATGATATCATTCTCTCATAGGTCATAGGAAACTAGATATGCAAGCTATCAGAACTCCTTTTGCCTATGATCCCGCTAAATCCACTTCATTTTCACATCATTCATTCTTCGTCGTGTTTTCCAAGCTAAACTCCGGCTAAGCAGACACACTCTCATTCGCAGCAGCATCTGCCACAAATTCCCTGGAGAATTTCAGTCTGTACTTGAACATGACTGAACCTAATGACGGATCTGTCACTGCAACCTCATCCCCGTCCCCTGTCATTTCTCCCATCTTCCTCGACAAGTTGTGCTCAGTCTTCACGCGCAAGCTCTCCGGGCTCTGCATGTACAAAGACTTATTGTCGGCTGAACGAATTGAAGGCTTCTTGAGCTGTGCTTCTGGTCTATGTGCAAGAGAATCGATGAACTCCTGAAGAGTCAAATTGGGGTCGATGCTCAAATCCCTTGCCAAGTTTCCACACACGGGACAGTCGTCCTTCTTCTCATGCTTGAAGGTGTAGGTGTAAATGCCGTCGTCTCCACTGTACATCATGTAATTTTCTTCCAACCCAAGAGAGGGATTGGTACTGCTTGCGATTTTGAACGCTTCATTACAGCAGCTTGCCGCGATTATTGCGTTAGTTGAGGCGATTGCTGGAATGATATTTTTGACCACTCCTTGTGTCAAAAAATAAGTAACACCCGGGATGTTAAACTCTTGCGCTCTAGTTAGGGCCTTCTTGTAAAGCCAAGTGATGTGTTCTGGATCATCATTATCTAGCTTAGGAAATGGCTTCTCTTGCTCCCATGCCATAATGTGAGCCCACTCGATACAGTGCTCCGGTTGGCGAGGAATTGTAGCTAGCGTACAGAGAGGAACTGCAGCTCTTGGTGCGTGCATATCAAGTTGACACTCGATACAGGAAGTCATGGTCGGTAAGATTACACGGGATTGACCTTTGAATCCTAATGGTACCGTTAACAAATTTGCTCTGAGTGCTTGAAACGTTTCTAATACCTTCGGTACCTCCGTCAATCAATGGCTTCAGACTGTCCGGGTTTTCCATATCAACCATATCGACCAATTTAGAATTAATCCATCGTCGGGCTTCGATACTGTCTAACCCGCATACAACAATGCTGAATTGCATGTAGAATTCCTCATCCTTGTCTTGGATCTTGCAATTATGCGGCACAATCGTGACACCCTTTACTCGTTTCTCCACAAATTTGGCTGCAACTTCAGCCTTGGACTTGCCAACATCGCTATGGCGGAAAAGAAATTGTCGATTCAGATTTGAAACATCGATTGTGTCTGAAGCAGCTTAGTTAGAGTGTTATCTCAGATTAGGTTGAACAAAAAAGTACCCATATCAATCACATGAATCGTCTTGAATCCTGATAGCGCTAGATTCTTCAAGATTTCGCAACCAAGACCTCCCGCTCCACTACTTTCTGTTAGCACTCGGAGCTCTATTCTGTGAACTTCTTAGGCAACCAACATCACCCTGGAGACGTGTTAGCAATATATTCTTTATTTGTTTT